TAACTCACAACTATACCCATTATAGTTTTTCCGAAATTGTGTTCCATTTGGTGATAATGACTCGATAAAATACTAACTTTTCGTGTAAAGTAAGATGTTGATATCGAGTAATAATAATATAGAAGTTGTATTTAAATCTATATAAAGCGATATGTTTTCTTATATTGCACTTGTATCCCCCCCCCCCCCTAAAACATGAAAAGACGAGAAAAGTAGGGGTATGAACTCACTTGTTTGGTTTGAAGAGAGTGAGACTAGAATCGAGCAGAACTTCAACTGCAGAAAGCTGCGTCTTCGAGCTTCTCGGGGATCTCGGTAGCGTAGAACCTTCTTCGGGGCTCGGTTATGGAACCGAGGGTGTCGGGATGGCCTCTGGAGCTCACAAGTGAGTGAAAGTGAGAGAGAGTTTGAGAAAAGTGTGCCAAAACCCGAAGCTCATTCCCTTTATTTATAGGGTTGAAAGTGGGAGTACGCTAGGCGTAATATCGGAGTATGCTGGGCGTACTTGTTATGCTGGGCGTACTTCAGTTATGCTGGGCGTTCATATGCGTCATGGCTTACGACTCGGGTCTAGCTAAGCGTAGAGTCTGCTAGCCGATGGGACTCGACACTGAGCTTGAGTACGCTGGGCGTACTCTAAATTTACATTGGGCGTAATTCTTGTTTCAACCTTCTAAATTCCGTAACTTTCGCGTAAGAGCTCCGTTTTTTGTGTTCTTTATATCCACGCGTAGGTGAGACTATTCTCTACAACTTTCATTTAGACTCCATCGGCTAGTTTTGACTTTATTTTTAATATTATGTTTTTAGTAGGCCGGGACTGCTAAAGTCCGTTAAAAAAATCAGAACTTCTTTATCCGACGTCTGTTTTCGTCTGTCTTTTTACCATCTTACTCCTGTAGTGGACACCTTCAATTCTCGTTTAGGTTGCTTTAGCTAAATATCGTTCGATCTTTAATTCGAGTTTTTAGCTCTCTACTGCTGTTACGAAACTTAAAAAATTTGTAACTTCTTCATACGAGGTTCAATTTGGGCGATCTTTTTATGCACGTTCATGGTTTAACAAAATCTATGACTTTTGTTTAGATACCTAAGGCTAAAATGCGTTTTATTGGAATTTCGCTTTTTACGTTTAAAAATGTTTTACCGGGTGTGTCGTGAATATTTGAGTGGTCATAATCTTCTCATTATAACTTGGTTTTGAAGATTCTTTATGTTTTTGGAAACCTTGGCACGGTATCTAACATTTGATGCATCCCAAATTTAGATTTTTGAACACTTAATTTTTGAGGTTAATTCCGTTGATTCTGATTAGTTCGTTGTATTTGACTTTTGAGTGTTACATTGATTTGAAGAAAAATATAGGGTTGTCGCAAGCAGTTACTTTTATTTCAATGTTATGTTTGCTTGTTGTTCGTTTTGTAGTTGTAGATCTTTTATTTTGTTGTCCAAAACATGAAATGAGGATTGGAATATGTGATTACTGATTCGGAAGGTATTCTTCTATTCCTTGTTGATTTTCTTGTTAATTCTTTTTTTTGTATGACAAATTTCTTTTTAGTTAATTGGATTAATACTGCTACTTCTATTTTTTTCTTCATATTTTTGCTTGCCTCAAGATTGGCTGGTGGAGTGGTGTGGCTCGTTCTAATGCTGAATAAAAAAAGGGATAATATTTGATATTATGGTGTTGCTATTTCCTCACTTCAGAACTTATATCACAGTTTTTGTATTGTTTTTTTTATGGTTTAGAAAAAACCAAGGGCATATTAGTTTATGTTACATCAGCCGAAGAATGATCATAAAAGTTAGTCTTTTGATTTTTTGCCTAAAAGAAGGTTTTGTTCTTTTGTATGTATCGTATCTAAATGAAAATATTACTTGTTATGTTCTATAGTTTCTTTTGTTGAAGTTGGAAAATGGTGCTAATAGACTTCATAGGAATTATTATATTGATATTTTCTTTTTCTATGAACACATATCGTTGTATTCTCCCTTAAATCCTGACTGGTTTCAACAACTTGGAGCTTAATTTGCTTTACAAAAGGATATTTTTTTTTATTCCAAAAGCAACTTGGATAATTAATTGTAGGAATTTTTAGTTGTCATTATGAATGTATTATAACCTTTGTGAGTTGATTAATTTTTGAATTGTTCTTTGTATATGTTTGTTTTCTACAATAAGCTCTCGTTGGAGATGGGTGGCAGTTACCAAATGTTCAAATAGCTACTCTTTATATGCTTGATATTTTTGCCGAAGCAAACCAAGATAAGGATCTAATATTTATTTTTCCATAGTTCCATTCTTTATATTCATCTTATTAGTTGCTTTTTTTTTTGCTTCGGAAACTGTATTGTACCTGTTCTATTTTTCATTGTACGATACAAATACGGGGCATTAATAATTTTTTCGCCCTGGGGATTGAAAACCTATGGACCGGCCCTGTATATGTAGTTGAGAATATCTCTACCTTGGGAAGGAAGGTATATCTTCTGGTACACTTGTCTTTGGAAGGAGTATATATGTGAAAACTGTTCATTGGGAAGCACCATAACATTGTACCTTTTGTCTTGGGATGGAGAAACCTGGTTGGCTGAGGCCAAACTTGAATGGCCGAGGCCAAACCTGATCGGTTGAGGCTAAACCTGATCGATTGAGGCTAAACCTGAAAGACCGAGGCTGAACCTGATTGGTTGAGGACGAACCTGAATGGCCAAGGCCGAAACTGATTAGCTAAGGACAAACCTGAATGGCCGAGGTCAAACCTGATTGGCTTAGGAAGAACCTGGTCGAGGCCGAACCTGATTGGTTGAACCATATTTGGCCAAATAATGTATGCCCAAACTTGGAAAAATGCCTAATTAGATATATGCATCATCATGTAGCACCCTAGTGCAAGCCAAAAAACGTCCAAGATGACAACAACGATTCCAAGGATGACGAAACTCCAATCTTCACTAAAAAACTTCTATCTTCAATATCTTGCACTACAACTTTCATAAACTTGTTTTTGACATTTTTTACATAGTCTTTCCTCATTTTTTACTCTAAATAAAATCATACACATATCATTGAGTACGCCTATTCTTCACATACATTACGTCAGTTATACTTACAAAAACAAAGAATAAAATCAAGTAAAATTGATCGATTATTAATCACCAACACCAACATCAACATGATCTTGCTAGACCATGCTTCTTTCATCCTCCATGTTGGTGATTTTAGTGTCACCATGTCATTTTATGTAACTGGAACTAACATGTGAGCTAAGGGACTTCATAATTTGTACTTTAATATATCAAGTCCAGGGGCGAGGGACAGCACCCTAAAAAGTCCCCGAATTTTACATATGAGAGCATAGTACGAAAATCGAATTCTTGAGGGTGGTTATGGTAAAACTGATGAAATTCAACAATATGGAAAACCTTGATTTCCTCGTCAAATTCCGGATTTCCCTGACTTGCTTTCAAAGGAACCCATGATGGCCAACCCTAAGTGGCAAACTCTAATCTCGTTTATTATATAAACGACTCTTCTCTTTGAGAAGCGAGATACAATGATTAACTCTCTTTTCTTCGCAAGAACATAGAATCCTTCTAGCAATTTGGCTTGTCCTCTTGGATTATCCTAGGCTAAATTTCTTGCAACCCAATCATAGGGTAGAAATATCAGTTCGGAAAGTGTTAACACGATCCAAAGGGTATCCAAATCTCCACCATAAACCCTAATACCTCCAACACTCCGAACATCTTAAGATTCCATAGGACGTCATGTGGATATAACAAAAGAACAACAAGGGCTAGAAGTAAAACTATAAAATCTTGAAATTCCTTTTGGAGGCCACATAGTGACATGGTGTAACGAGTCTCTTCTGGTAACAAATTTGGAAAAAAAAAATAAGTATGCTTTCAATGTAATCACAGACGGAGGTTCTAGTATAAGATAATGGCAAGCCGTAACCGATCCGAGAGAACTTTCTCTCCCTCTAAATTCACAAATTCCTTCATCTCGGTTCTCTCTAGCTCTCGGCATACCCTCCCTCTCTTGTTAGGGTTATGGTTCTTGCCATCAAGGAAAATAAGGATCAAGTCATCTTGCTTAGATCACTATCTTGGGGTGCTATTACAAGAGATGGGCTGCTATTTTGGACCATCGAATCATCCAAGTCACATCATGACATCAATGAAAGGTAATCCTTATGATCATCACTTTTAGTTTAGTTCTTGTTGCTTGAAATATAATGAACTTGTGATCCTCTTGTATTACGGTTTTGTTATGCTTCCGTTGCGTTTCTTTTATTTTAAAGAACCACTATAATCGAACACATACTACGGACCCCACGAAAATGCACAACTATACTAACATGTCCCTTTATCGTGTTGCTTTGATACCACTTGTCACATGTCACAGACTAAAGTTTTGACACTACTTCTTGCCCATTTAGTCTCACAAGGTCCTTCATAAAACCCCGAGACCAACCCTCCCAGATTCCATGTGCTAACTGACTCATCAGGGAAGCGAAACTAGTCACCGACCAATTGTGTCTAACCTGCTACGATCCACTTCATTATCAAGCTTTTCGGCGACTCGGACAGACAAAAATAACTAGACTAACAACGTCCATGGTGTATGGCGCCCTTTTTAATCCAATCAAAAACTAGTCCTATGACATGATCTTTGTCTTCATGGTCAACACGCTCACAAAATAATTGGCATGTGACAAAGTAGAGTTGATACTTGATAGCAAAACTAACTTTCTTGTATAGTCGATAAAATTTCCTTATGTTTAGGGGTGACAATTCTTGACACGACATGCGACACGCCAAACATTGAGTTTTCTTGACCAGTAAACCCTCTAATCCATTTCTTTTACCAGTTATTAGATAAAAAAATGTTACATAAATGAGATAGTAATGACTAATAAGTAAATATGTGATATTTTGACTTTTTCTCATGACCCACAAGCTTAAATCCCACACACAAACCCGAATATAACTTACGAACCCAACTCTGAACCCAAGACAAGCAGCTCCAATCTTCTTCCAATAACAAGCTTTTCAACACTTTTGTCATTGCTCATTTGACAACCGATTCGAAAAACACATCTATCCGTGCCATGACAAGCAGCTCGAATCTTCTTCCCTTAATTGCAAGAAACAAAATGTCTTATGGAAGCGTCTCACCTATTCGAGGTCTTCGATTGATTCTTATTGTATCTCCTTGTTCCCAGATCTGCAATTTGACTCTTCCTACAACTAACCGAACCAAATTCCAATTGTTTTTATCATTGATTGCATATTAGTCTCCAAGGAATCGATTTTGATTGAAAGATACTCATTGTGCTTTCTAATTCCTCCATACGGTTTGCTACTGAACCTGTTCCTGTGGGATATCACAATGCTTTGATACAATTGATAAGTATGGATAGAATCATAGAAAGTGAGAAGAATAACAGAGAAATTGAGGAGAAAATAGCATAATAGTGAATGATTTCCAACTAATTGAGAGGTTGGGCACTCCAGGTACAGAACATGATTTCAAGAATGCCCTAGTTCTAACCTCTTACTACTCTATTTGTAATGGATCACCAACGTAAGTGACAACTACTTTCCTCCTCGAACAACTAACTGAGCCCTAAACAACTTAACAAATTTGTTTTTGACTTTTCCAATGCCATCTACAATGTTTAACTTCAGGCTCTGATTTGAGTTTCACTAGCTGAATAATTTGATTTTTTCTTTCTTGCATACTTCTTTAGTATAGGATGATTCCTAACCATTTTCACCTTCGATGACATGGCTATGGTTTCTGGAAATTTTTTAAGCTTATCGCAGTGGCTCAGATCAATGTGGACAAGTTTATCACATTTCTCAATCGATTCACAAATCTTAAGCAAGCTACCACATTTATTAAGCATCAACCTCTCAAGTGCAGGGAAATCTTCGAAGCCAACCACACTACAAAGCATATCACAGAAACTTAAATTAAGAATCTTAAGTGACCCAAGCAACTTTTTGTCTTTTGAGCATGATCCAGTCAACTGCTAAAATGAAGATAAATTAGTTTAATAGCTAGCAGTGAATTTCATCAACTCAACATGTATGAATGATACATGGATATAAGTTACCCTTTGCCTCTTCTGAGGTTGTGAATCACAATAAGAAACACCAAATGATGTGATATTGCTATATGACATGTCGAGAGCAACAAGATACTTCATCGGTAAGTTTGAAGGTATATAGTCCAAAGGAAACACATGCATACACAACCATCTTAATTGTTTTGGAAAGTTCTCGTAAGACCCATTCATTTGCACACAATTGAGTTGTAGTAGCTTCAACTCATCCATCTTCCTCAAAGCTTCTGTTTCAAGTGGCTCATTGATCTCAAGTCTTCTTATGTCAAGGCTGAGGCCCAGAACCTTTCTCGTACCCTAAGAAAAAACATATGCAAGGAAATTTTACATACATGTATATAGACAATACAAAATACTTTGAATAAGTATACATGGTGACTTACCTTTTTTTCTTTCAACACTTTGAATGACTCCTCATGACACCATAACCGACTTCGCTTCCATGCCTTGTCAGGTGATTCTTGACGTACTATGTGTCTTCCCATTTCTTGAAGCAACTGATGCATCACTAATTCGTTATTCCATCCAACACTAAGAAGGCAATTGTCCATGAGATCAGTGATCCCAGAGTTTGCTCTTATTTTACATGCCTTTAATATTGTTTCAGTATAAACTCTATCTGTTCCGACAAAAAAACAAGCAATATGCTTGAACAATTCCTTATCATTGTCCGATGGCAAAGAGTCAAAGCTCTTCCTCAATTCATTCTCTACAGGGTCTTTCCCTAGCCCTTCTATGCGATCTTCCCAATAAGCCACATCTTGTCTGTTATACAAAGACATGCCCAAAACTTCAAGAGTTAATCGATGTCCTCTGCAATAATTCACAAACTTTTCTGACATCTCTCCATAACCTTTCTTCGGATCCTTGGACTTGAACGCATGAGAACAAAAAAGTTCTAGTGCTTCGGTGTCATCTAAGCCTTCAAGCTTGTGCTTTTCATGTGTGGGTTTAACTTCCGTCTTGAATAAGTCACAACTCTCTGTCAACCATGTATTCCTTGTCGTTATTATGATTTTGCTTCCTTGATAAAACCCTTTTCTTCCAAGTAATGCATTTAACTGATCCAGAGTATTAATATCATCAAGAACAAGGAACACCTTTTCGTTTGCTACTATATTCTCTATCTTTGAAGTGTATTTGGAAACATCATAATCTTGAGTTGAACTTCCTTTTGAAATGCAACCATAGAGTTCTGCTGCTATATCACGCAACCCATACAATTTGTCATCGCATCTCCTATCGATGTCTTTAATAAAGCTGCTTGTGACAAATTCATAACAATGTAACCCATGGACATATTGGGCTAAAGATGTCTTCCCAATCCCACGCATACCAAAAATAGTGAGTACGTCTCCCCTATCTGAGGGTTCTTTTTTCAGCCATGATGTAACAAAATTAATGGAATCTTTCATCCCAATAGGTTCTGGCAATGCACTTCTAGAGGGTACATGTAATCTGTAGTTGAGGTCATCAACAATCTTTTTAATGAACACCGTCTCATACCTGAAATTTGAATGTAATAAAAGCTACAAAACACACTCCAGAAAACTAACAAACCAAATCAGAGATATAATGTATTGAAACTATATTATACTAAGCTCTCCAGTCTCCACATAAAAAATACATCATATTTGCACTTCTCACACTACAAGTATCTAATGTGTAACACCATATTTCATTTTGTTTCTAGAAGACCATCAAACTCAACTATTTACAAGTAAGAGCAAATTGTTTGTTGAAAAATAAAAGGTGCTATCCCCACCGCACCTTGCGGTGGGGATACAACGTACACCCATAGCCTTATGGGTAAAAATCAAAGTTCATTGCCTATCTTGGTAAAAAAAAAAGTTAAGTAATTTGTCCAAGAATAAGTGCATAACATGTTCAAAATTGAAAGTGATGTCCACCTTAGCTGGATTGATGAGTTGAGATTTATACCCATGTCATGTCGATTCCCTTAAATCACTTCTTTAGGTGTTCCATGTGGTGGAATTTTCCCCTAGAAATCCCTTGGGTTTCAAATTTGCCCAGTAAAGAGCTCAAACTTCGGTCTCTACTGTATCAGGTGGAGGGGCTACCGCTTAACCGTTTGCCGAAAAAAAAAAAAAAAAAAAAAAAAAAAAAAAAAGAAACTGCCAAAAAATTCAGGATGCATAATCTATTTATGTGAATTAATTTGAAATCAAATAATCCAAATCTTAAATTATATTTAATGCATCCTCTTTATCCAGTTAAAAACTTAAAATACATTGAGTTTATGTTTATATGACAATACTGAAAGAAACTTCCAGAAATGCCTAAAGAGAAAGAAAATATTGACATTTTGTGTGTTAATCAAACAATGGTTAAGGAGTATGAAAATATAGGTAAGAAAGTGGTTACCATCCCCGTACGTCCTCCCCTTTTAAATTAGCAACTTGTTTAAGCGCATCAATCCATCCTTTAATCCTTTGAGCAGACTGAGTTCTTTCATCTGCATCTTTCTCTGCTTTCATCTGTCGTGTGTGCTCAGCAATTGCATCTCCAAAGGTACTTTCTTGCTTTCTGACATGGGTGGGCTCAACATGATAAAAGATAGGGATAACAATTTGGTTGGGTTGTTTAAGGATCAGAACCAATTCATCAAGGCACCATGATGAACTAGCGTAGTTCTTGGACAAGACAATAATAGAAGCCCTAGATGATTTAATCGCATTCACCAATTCTGGTTTCAGAACTTTTCCCGTATCAATCTTTTCTTCATCTAAAAAGGTAGAGATATTGGCATGCTGGAGGGTCTTATTGAGATGATCAATGAAGTTCCTACGAGTATCTTCACCTCGAAAACTTATAAATACGTCATGTTTGTGATTATTAATGGATGAAGAAGATGATCCTTCAGAAAAGGGAACATCCATTATGGGTGATGGGAAGGTATGAGCAATTTGAGACTAGATCTACAATAACATATCGAACAGATGAAGAAGATGATCCTTCAGAAAGGGAACATCCATTATAGTGGCCTTTCTCAGGAAGTCGAAGTCAACGACTGCTTTTTGATAAAAGATATACTTTGTGAATTTACCTGGAAACTTAAAATACGTTAAAGAATTGAAATAATCGATCTCTAAGAAAGTGGTCCAGGTACTTCGCTGGCTTTGAGGGTTTCAACTTTCAACATGCCTGTAAACATTAGCATTTGTGAGGTTTGATTGATTTATTTAGGGACCATTTATTTACAAATGTTATATGACATTATCATATATTTTAGAACATTTTGTAAAGAAATAGTTTTACCAAAAAACACAAACTTCCAACATTTGGTTTAGTTCATGGATCTAATGTTTCGTTCTACAAACACATAAATAAACTTTACATTGTTCACATGAATTATGTCTATCATTTTTTTAAGTCAATTTCTCGGATATGAAAATAGAATATAAAAGTATTTGAATCTTTTTCAGATCCATGGATCTGAAATAAGTATTATATTATAGTAAATACTAAATTACAAAATTGCGTGATTTATCAATTTTTATGGATAAGGTACAGTGCTTTTAGGTTTTTACATTTTTCATTCATGTTTGATATCTTTTTTACTATTTAATCCATACGAGAATGTTTGATAATCATATGAATCCATATACGTTTAATTAATAGCCATTTTAATGGTTATTTTGTAATCTAATAAAAAGAAGTCAATACATAGGAAGTTAAACGGGCAACAAACTGTGTCATTAGGTTTTTTTGGATGGCAAAACTAATTTATTTTTAAGACAACGTCTATAGATCTAGGGGACATTACATTATTATGCATGATCTGTTAGACTCTATTGAGGAGCTTCACTGCCTCTGACGCAAAAAAACTAAAAATATCAAATACAAAAGATATGAACACGTGTTGATTTTCAATGCATACATTCTCGTATTTGGTCATAGCCATTTTGTTAAATCTTCAGAGGGCATTCACCAAAAATTTTTTTTTTTTTGTGTTAAATTGGTGTAAAGTTTCTAATTTCATTTTATTATTTTAATATAAACTAGGGGGTATGCCCACACTCCGCGTGGGGTAGAGAATGTTGTTTTAGTTTCATATGTGTGCTTCTGTTAATTTTTCCGGTATAGGTCTACTGAAGTTGTTTTCGTTTATCCTAGTGTATAAAACCAAACAAATAAATTAGTTTTCATCCGATTACACCATTATACTTTAAAAATCTACCTAATAATGAAATTTCTTTGCTTAACAATCGAAAAATAGTTTGAAAGACTGCCACTTCACCTTACCTATTCTAAGAATAAGAAAGTAGTGTAATTTTTAAATACGTTGTGTACACAATCCTTGAAGGATAGGGCAAGTATCATTGCTATTAAAGTAGCCAAAAATCAGCAGAAATGAAGTAAATTGCTATTAAAGCAGCAAAAAAAAATGATAGCTTTATACTAAACCAAAGTACATTGCTATAAATGCATTACATTAAGATAAGTACAAAATGACATTTATGTTTGCACACCCATATTGGATTTTTTTTAGATTTATCCTTTTTAATCTGTTAATGACATATCACAAGTTCGATCAACACAAAGACATTTTGAATCCACACATGAACTAGGAAAGTAAAAGGAAATATAAGATGCCTTCAACCTTCAGCTAAAATGTATTTTCTTGATTTACCGACATAATTTTACTTCTAAACAACTCCAGTTGAAACACAGGTTTTGACAAATGCAACAACCTGAAAAACAAAATTATATATAACAAATTCATCGCCTAATAAATAAATTGTCTTTTAACACTTATATAAAACAATAAAACACTAAAACCAAACCAATTATCTCACATCTTTCATAGTTTTCAAGACCAACTATCGGAGTTTTTTTTTTTTTGCCTTAATGCAAAGTAAATCAGGGAAATGAGGCTTTTCCCATTACGTCCTACCATTTTACTAATTCTCCCTCATTTAATTTTAAACATGGTTTATCCAAAAAAAAAAAATAGAAAAATAAAAAAGAAAAACTTACTAGCAATATACTGACAAAACGATGAGACTGAAGCAGCAACCTCATTGTAATGCAGGTGCAGTAGCTTCAACCAACAAAATTCTAAGTGTCATAGGTATAGCCTCATCAGTAGCATGTAATTTTGCATCCTATTAACATATGAAACTGTAAGAGCTATTTGAGCACTCCTTTGAAAATTGGAGGCAAATCCTACGCTTCAAGGTTTCATATCAACTTTGATCCTTGGAATTTCTAATTTTGGTCTTTATTTCAACATTCATTCAGATAAGTAATTACTGGATTGAAAAAACATAAGATAATAGTTAAACTAAAGATTAAAAATATTAATAATTCGAGATGAAATTTAAATGCTATATTAGACCTACAAATGAAAGTATATTGCTATTTGTTGCGCTTTGCCTGTAATTTGACTAAATATTGTGGCAACTTACTTTCATTTTTAACTTTCGACTTTATACATTTTGTTTTTGTTGCTTTATTATTGAAGCACTCTAGTCTTAAAATATGCTATAAATGAATCATTAAGACAGTAGAAAATTTTCAATCAATATAAAAAACTAAAAGGTTGTGGCAAGAACAAACAAACTTAAAACTAAAAGACCTACTTATCACAACTTAAAAATAACTTTTTTATTGATGTCAATGTTGATGTTCAAATACTTTCTTTGAGTTTCATTCATAATATTATCTACAACAACAAAAAGTTATAGGAATATCATAAACCCGACTCATGAACATAAACAATCTATTAAGTAACTATTGTAAAAAACTATTGTTTTCATGTTTTATAAAAGAAAAGCATAACATAACTTCTGTAGAGGTAGCATGAGAATAAATGAAAGTGATGATTCCTACTGCTATATGAATGTTTTTGAACTCTGGTTTTGAATTTCTTCAAGTAAGATGTTGGAATCAAACCTAACCATGGCAATTTTTCCAAAAAGATCATCTTTTTTAAGCTCAATAAGACGTTTAACGTGCGGAAGTGCATTGACTTTGTTTCCATCATCTTCTTGGACCTGAAACTAACAACTTTAAAATGAAAATAAGATGTAGTGATTTTCATTAATTATGAACTTTTATTGTTGGGATGAAGAAGAGAGTAAAAACGATAGTGTTTAAAATTTGAGATGGTAGATATTTGTCTATCAATTCCATCATCAGACTAAGTATTACGTGGCTATCAGTTCTATCATTAGACTAAGTACTACGAACATAATGACATTGGCAACAACAAAATCGATACCAATTTCGCAATTGAAAAGCCCTGCATTTAGTCAAAATGTAGTTTTTTCTTTAACGGGGGAGCAATAATAACATTTGAAGGAGCATGAAATGGAAATTACCTTGTTCGCACATCTATTAAATATATGATTCAATCCCACCTCCGAAATATTTGTTGAAAAGTTGATTTTACCAATATAATGAGAATATATGCAAAATTTTAACTGAAAAGAAACAATAAATAATCAAGAAATTGAAACATTGGGGTGAAGGAATCTGAAAGTGTAAATGTGTAACCTTGTACATTGTAATGAAGATTTAGTCGCGCCTTTTTTCTTGAATGTCCGGTAATTTCCATTAGAACCCCCGAAGAACTCATTACCTGCAAGAAGAATCGCAAAGCAGAAGAGATGAGTCTAGCGGTTCCAATTTGTATAGTAGTGGCGATACGATTAGTATTAACTGACCAACTCACAACAACCAATTCCCTTCAAATGAAACCAAATCTTGCTTATAACCCAAAAATCTAAAAACCCAAGTCAAGTAAATTAAAAACAATTGTAACAATCCAAACCAGATATGACTTTGAAACCCTTGAGGAAATTCAATTTTAAGCATATTAGTTCGTTAAGTACGCTGGGGGTACTTATGAGTACGCTTAGCGTACTACGCATGGGTGATCGCGGAGGGGCAGCACGTACGCTGGACGTACCAGAAGTACGTTGGGCGTACGTGCCGGATGTCCGAACCCTAATTTTCGGACTTGTGACCTATATAAACACCCTTAACTCATTTGAGCCTCACCCTCATCAGCCCCTTTCATCTTCAAACGACTTTGAAAACCCTAATACCATTTGTGAAGAGTGCATATGTGGTCCTTATAGTGTTCATTCAAGAAGAATAAGTTGTCAAGGGAGCTTGGAGTGTCATTTGGCTTCAAGAATCTGCATATAGTCGACCTTGAGGAGCTTCTGGAGGTATAAAGCTTGCACCTTTCCACTTAAATCACTAGATCTTCCTTTTGGTTGATTTTGGATCTCCTCTTGTGAGTTAAGCAACTCTAGAGGATGGAAATGACAGATTTGAGGTCCCTTGGTCCTTTTGCAACATAAAAATGGAGTCTTGGTGGGTGTTTTGACCTCATGCATGGGTTAAGAACCTTGAAAAGGTCTTAATAGGGGTGTTGGGAGCATATGAGACATGCAAAGGCATAAAGTTGACAACTTTATGCCCTAGGTTGTCTTAATAAGCCTAGATCTGACTTTTGGACGTAAAGGAATCGAGTATTAAGCACTTAATGGAGAAAGTGCTTAATCTGTTAGTACGCTCGGCGTAACATAGCGTACGTTGCGTGTAAGTCCCAGAGACCCAGTATGTTGCGCGTACCAGGGTGGTACGCTAAGCGTACGTATCACAGATAGGCTTGGATCTATTTTGGTCCTTTGAGCTGTTGGGCATCATTTGGTTATTGGACTTGGTTGCGTTGTCGGAATAGTAGGCCATTTTATCTGTTTTGGGCCATTGATGTTATGGTACGGCCTTATTAGGGCAAGAGGCCCATTATTGATTTTTGGACATAGACTTTGGGCCCATTAACAAAGAAAGGACTTTTGGGCCTTTATGAAAGGACTTGGGGTTTTGGTTTCCCTTTGATTATGTGATGTCCTGACATTGGTTAATATTATTATTCAATACAGGAGGTTACAGACAATTAGGAGAGCAGTTTTTGGATTCTTCGGACAGAGGTGAGTCTCCTTACCATACCAATGGTTCGAAGGCACCAAGGCCGACCTATTAATTGTTATATAT